CGAGGAACCAAACAGGTAATTAGTCCATCTCATTAGCATGCACAGGTGAACTTAATTACTGAAGATGAGGTTAGAGGTCAAAGGTTACTGAATGGGGTCAAGTTGTCGAAGTTATTAAGCACCTTGTTGAGATTTGCACAGGTGGTCAGGTTGTTTACTCAGTATATTTGGGTTATCCAGCAATGAGGTATATCCCAACCACCTTACTCAACCAGTGACCACCTTACTCCACCACCATCGAACCTTATTCCACCAGTGACTAACCTTATACTCCTCCACCGACCAACCTCACTCCACCATCACTCCAACCTCCTCCACCATTAACCTCATCCACCATCACCGACCAACCTCCTCCTGCATCACCACCAACCTCTCCACCATAACCAACCTCACTCCACCATCACCAACCTCACTCCACCATAACCAACCTCACTCCATCACCGACAACCTCACTCCACCATAACCAACCTCACTCCACAACCAACCTCACTCCACCATCACCAACCTCACTCCACCACCTAACCAACCTCCTCCCACAATAACCAACCTCACTCCACCACCAACCAACCTCCTCCACCATAACCAACCTCCTCCACCATAACCAACCTCACTCCACCAACCAACCTCACTCCACCATAACCAACCTCCTCCACCATAACCAACCTCCTCCCTGTAAAACCTCCTCCACCATAACCAACCTCACTCCACCATCACCGACCAACCTCCTCCACCAACCAACCACTCACTCCACCATAACCAACCTACTCCACCAACCAACCTCACTCCACCATAACCAACCTCCTCCACCACAACCAACCTCCTCCACCATAACCAACCTCACTCCCACCATAACCAACCTCACTCCACCATACCAACCTCCTCCCACCACCAACCAACCTCCTCCACCATAACCAACCCCACTCCACCATAACCAACCTCACTCCACCATAACCAACCTCACTCCACCTACCAACCTCACTCTCACCAACCAACCTCACTCCACATAACCAACCTCCTCCCACCAACCAACCTCACTCCACCATCCAACCTCACTCCACCACCACCAAAACCTCACTCCACACCAACCAACCTCACTCCACCATCACCGACCAACTCCCTCCACCACCAACCTCACTCCCACCACAACCAACCTCACTCACCACCAACCCTCACTCCACCACCAACCTCACTCCACCATAACCAACCTCATCCACCACAACCAACCTCCACTCCCACCATAACCAACCTCACTCCACCACCAACCAACCTCACTCCACCACAACCAACCTCACTCCACCACCAACCAACCTCACTCCTGCAACCAACCTCCTCCACCATAACCAACCTCCTCCACCATAACCAACCTCACTCCACCACCAACCAACCTCACTCCACCTGTAACCTCACTCCACCATAACCAACCTCACCTCCCACCATAACCGACCTCACTCCACCAGCGAGAATGTGATGATTTCGGTTGAGGCTCTCGATCACTATTGTGGTTTAAGACGAACAAGAAACAAAGCAACACGGAGTTATTACATCCAAGGGCGAAAAAAAAAATAATTAGTGGATATTGTTTTTAATGGAAGCTCAGACTGCGGGAGGTAATTACGACGTGATTGTTGTGGCTTTCAGAGGAGACAAAAGGTACTGAAGTTTAGTATTAAAAAAAAGGTGAAAAAAAGCAAAGTCAAAGGATTAACTACTTTGGAAACCTTTTAATGGGATTTCAGATGGAAGGGAAAGTGTGTGTGTGTGTGTGTGTGTGTGTGTGTGTGTGTGTGTGTGTGTGTGTGTGTGTGTGTGTGTGTGTGTGTGTGTGTGTATGTGTGTGTGTGTGTGTCATACTTTGTGGTGTGACCTTCTGTTGGGTTTTTATTAATTACAGGTGAGTTTGAGAGTCATTAGGACAGGTAAAAGCATCATAGATTACCCCCCCCCCCCTAGAGGATATTTTGTGTGTTTTTTAATCACCCGGTAGCGTAATGATTAGAGAAGTGACGTCATTAATTACAAGAGGGAGGGAGTGGGCCTGGTGATTAGTGGTCATTTGGCTTCGTTGACTTCAATCCCCAAATTTACAGCATCCCTCACACGTGCGGTTGAACACTATGTTTCAATCAAGTCAGGAAGGTCAGTGTTTTTAGGTTGACTTGACGCATACGCTGTCAAGACCCAGGTAAACGCATGAGCTATTACTATTATTATTATTATTATTATTATTATTATTATTATCATTATTATTATTATTTGGGCTTAAGTTGAGGTAATTATTGATGGGTGATATAAGGAAAGGATATTATTTAGTATTTGGATATATTGTGATGATTAGAGTTATTATTATTATTATTATTATTATTATTATTATTATTATTATTATTATTATTATTATCGTTGTGCCGCTCTTGTGTCCTCCGAGGTGATGATGTCTGTGCATAATAAAATAATTACCTGCCAGCTAATTAGTGGAGGGGGGGGGGTGGGAATATATTATTTGGTCACAGTGCCGGTCTGGAGTACTGTACTTAATACCCAGAGGAGCGAGGGGCATAGACTGCTTCGTGGGTATTTAGTTAATTCCATTTGGGTTATGGTGAAGGCTGTGAGTTCTCCCCTTCCTCCTCCCCTTACCCCCTTACCCCCCCCCCCCACCAGGGCTAGAGCAGGCTTTACTCTTTGATTGACCTAGAGGTAAGGAGTGTAAAGAGCTTGTGTCCTTACCTTGTTTGACGGACTGAAACACACACACACACACACACACACGCACGCACACACACAGGGGTTTCTTTAGGTAGCCATAATTAATATACCTGATGTTTATGGCAGGTATTAGGTATCGTCTCAGTTAATGATATTTTTTCCATAATGCTTTACCCAGTGACCGGACACTTGACCTGGCGGAGGTAATGGTTGAGAGGCAATTTCTGTTTTGATGAATTGCAGACTTCCATTGTGCGTTTGGTATCGTTTGTTACCTGTTGGAGCACCTGTCTAAATTACTGTGAAGCCAGGTGAAGTTCTCCCTCCGAGCAGGTGTTAATTCCTTCATGAAGCAACAGTGCAAATTAAGGGAAAATGGTGGGAGGGGGGGGGGTGAGGCGAGCGTCTTTAAAATTATATTATGGGGGTGTGGGCGGTCTCCTCGTCTTGCTTCCCATCTGCTTTGTGAGCCAAGTGTGGGCGTGATGGGTGGCCCCGTGTCCTTGTGTGTCCAAGAGGAAGGTAGTGTGGGCGTGATGGGTGGCCCCGTGTCCTAGTGTGTCCAAGAGGAAGGTAGTGTGGGCGTGATGGGTGACCCCGTGTCCAAGAGGGAGGTGTACCATACTCTGTGGTTCACTGGACGTGTTCAGGTTCGCGAGGCCGTCTGGGGTCAGGAGCTTCGCGTTGGTGATTGTTATATATTTGAATGATGATTAATTTTTATTGTAGGAAAGGAAATTAAGATGCAATTAGTGTGTGTATAGTTATCACTCCCTCCCCCCTAATAAGGTTGATCAGTTGCTTGCACTCGGCTCCTATTGTCTGTTTCTTTCCCCTATTTACACTCTTCTCTCCTTTCTTCCTCCTCCATCCACTTATTCCATCTTTCTCTCTCTCTCCTTACCTTTCCCTTATCCTCACAGCCATGAACCCGAAAATTATTGATAATTTCACCAACGTGACAACTAGCGTTGCCAACAGCCAGGACAAACGGCCCATGTATTAACGTCACGGGTAACATTGGCAGAGGCTCCCGTGTTGAGCGCTCACACCCCGGCGCCCATAACACACCCACTATATCAACCCCACAATAACTATGATAATGTGTAGTCATTATCAGAAGAGGAGGTGGGGGCGCTGTTGTCGCTTCTAATAGACTCTTTGTGTTACAGGCACGGAGTAACTTGTCATAATTTTCGTTGTTTGTAATTGCACTTCATCTCTAATGCCTTTAGGGGAAACCAGGAAAAAATATTGCGGATTTCATCAACCTGAAAGTTAATGAGTGGAACTGCCAACCAGCCAGCGGACGTCGGAGGGGAGGAGCCCTCAGCTACAGTCCTGAGAACGCCCCCCTTCCTTCCCCCTTTCCCTTGTGAGCCCCCCTGTTGGGAGCACCCCGTCGGGAGTCACCACGGACTCTACACAACACAACAGCGGAAGCAGAGCCATCGCCATGCCCGTCAGGTGTCGCACGTGACCTCACTCCCCTGCACGTGAGGGCCCGGACCAGCACCTCAATGAGCCCCTCACTCTTCAACTGGTGGTGGTGGCGGCGGCCCCTCGCTACTAGTGGGCCTCTTCTAACGTCACTCTTCTCGCCATAACGATATCCCTACTATTGCAGACCAGACTGAGGTGTTAGGTTGGGGTACACGACACACAACACATCCGCGACAAACGAAGGCTTCTTTAGCGTGGGCCCGGAGTGTCCAGTGAACGTGACCGTAACGTGGAGAGGTTCTGGAGGCGTGGGAACTGTATCCTTAACGCGGGGACAAGGCTGCACTCCCACCCATGGTATGTCAATGTGTTTCTTTTAATAATGCATTGACCGTCAGTGCACCTTACATCCGCCCCATCCTCGCCTGCGACACCACACAGTCATTCCACCTCCTTGTATTGGACTCTATATTATCCGGATCAGTTTCTCTAACCTAACCTATACTGTAGTTTCTTGGGACGTTGGTGTTATGGTGTTTTATCACAAAGGCCACTCCGGGTCATCAGTGTTTAACAATCACGAGTATGGTAGCCTCGGGCCTTGCTACATCTTCCGTACCCAGAGTAAACTTGTGGTTTGCTATTGGCCGGCTGCTGAAGGTGTTGCTGACCTAGTTGCTGCTGTGGCCGGCTGTTGTAGGTGGTGGTGTCCTTGTGGTTTGCTATTGGCCGGCTGCTGAAGGTGTTGCTGACCTAGTTGCTGCTGCTGGCCGGGGATGAGTTTGGTGGCAAATATTGTACCCGCAAGATGATGATGATTACATTTTAGAGGTGTGGGAGACAGGCGAGTCCTCATGACAGTGACAGATCCAGGAACTCGGGAGCTGAAATCCATGACAGCTGCCGGGGTGGTGAAGGTCTTGGAGAGTAGAGGAGACCTTCAAGAACACCGTGTTAAGGTAGTTTGGAGGTAAGGAACGTGTCTTGGAGGCTTGGGAGGGGGTGGTAGGGGGCAGTATATTAATGTGAGTGTGTGTGGTCGTACTAAGAGTAGGTAATATTGCATGCGTTTTCCTGTGGGGGTACACACACACACACACACACTCACGCACACACACACACAGGTACACACACGCACACAGGTACACACACGCACACACACACAGGTACACACACACACACACTCACACACACACACCCACACTCCTCACACACACACACACACACACACACTCACACACACACTCCTCTACACACCATACACACACTCCTCTACACACTCATACACACACTTCTCTACACACACACACACACACACACACACACACACACACACAGGTACACACACACACAGGTACACACACACACACACACACACACACACACACACACAGGTACACACACTTAAAACTATCAATGGGTACTTCTACTCTAAAGATCATATCATTTGATCGCCATAAATACAGTGAACGCTCATGGTATAATTGCGTCTTTGTGAGCGAGGAAAATGTTACCCATTGTGTGTTTTCATTAACTCGTAATTATTACCGTAAGATATCGAGGCTGAGGAGGGAAAAAGTGAACGATTTATAAACACCAAGTGACTTAAATGGTCTTTGGGATATTAGTTTTTTTTTTAAGTTTTAGTCTTTGGTTTTGTTTTGTTCAGTCATATCGGGTTAGTTTCACCGCGAATTTCTAAAGCTTGCCTTAAATCAGCGGCTCTACCTATGTTCATTCGACACCCGGGTAGACAAATGTGAGCGGGGAGCAGCGGCCCGTGAAGGGAGGGCTCTACGCTCACATGTTCTCCAAAATACATTTATACTGTCCGGTGGCCTTTGTGGCGACGTCGGGAAGACAAAGTGAGGAGATAGTCGGCTAATAGGTAAGGCTGAGGAACATTGTCTGTGGTGATAGTGGTGGTGGTGGTCCCTCCTGGCGCGCTCTCTCTCTCTCTTTAACAGTGATAAGAAATATGCCTGTGATTAACACTATCCCAACACCGCTCTATCCATCTGACTATTTATATATCTATCCGTCCGTCTATCTATCTATCTATCTATCTATCTATCTATCTATCTATCTATCTATCTATCTATCTAGTCTTGTTCTTACGTTACCTCAACAACTCTTCAGTGGCCAGAGATTGCTACTCGGAAATCTATGGATATTTCTTTCAGTTTTCACATGTGTGTTGCTGTAAACATTGTGGTACTCAACTTTGGTGACTTCGCGTGAAATTTTATCGGTCAGAGTGAAAAATTTATTAGTGTGATGTTGATGAAACTCATTGATTCAGGTTGTAAATCATAGAAAAATAAATAACTTGAGTTTATTAAAGAAATTAATTTTGTGTTTTTAGTTTTTCGGAGTAATGTTTTGTGTTAGTATTTTAAAAGTAATATTGGTCATTTGGAGTTAACTTAAGATAATAAATTAATGCTGCTTGGTATAGTTGATATAATCTATGTTAATTTGATGACTAATTCTCTAATAATTTTAATCCTTTAGAATGTTTACTTAAGAGATGTGATTATATTAGGAGGGCAAATTAACTTGAGCCACTGAAATGTACACTTACCTTAGAGATCAGACGTTACTCGTGTGTGTGTGTGTGTACCGTAATACTTAGCCTTTGAGCACAGGTAAGCCTTGGTCCGCTACCCTCACCTGTACCTATTAACACGAAGACCTTTCACTCAAGGGGAAACTGACCACCAGGTGTGTGCTACAGTCACGCCTCGTTATGGAATGTTTGTGGGCGAGACTTTCACACACACACACACACACACGCACACACACAGTCACAACCCGTTGACCTATTGCTCGCCGCGTGTTTTCTTTAATGACGCTCTGCCTATATTTGGAGGTTGAGAGGTCTCCAAGTCTTTCTGTCACTTGGAACATGAATGTGAAGGTGACGGATTAGTGCTTGAGAGCTTGAGTACTCGGTGACCTTAGTGTGTGTTGAAGTTGTGTTTGAGTACTTGAGAGCTTGAGTACACAGTGGCTTGAGTGAGTGCAATGGTGACGGTTGGCTGAGTTAGTATTGAGTACTTGAGAGCTTGAGTACACGGTGACGTTACTCAATGTGTCTAACCTAATTAATATACAGGTACAGGGTGGTCTCAGGTGTTGCTGTAACTCATTACGAAGCCGACAGTCAATACAGGTGTCATCCTCTTGTGTTAGGGTTGGCGACCACGGCCCACTCACGCTAAACGTATTCAAACACACACACACACACACACACCACTTCACTACTTATTGATTATACTGAACTAATATTCTCTCTCTACTGTGTGTGTGTGTGTGTGTGTGTGTGTGTGTGTGTGTGTGTGTGTGTGTGTGTGTGTGTCTGTGTAGCTCAGTATTGTTCACTTTCTTATTCCGCCACAGTGTTTTTGTTGCTACATTGTTACACAGTTCACCACCTCGGCTCTGTACAGTATATTATTATGAACACGGACGCACAATTCGTAATGTGTCAGCGTGTTGGTCATGTTCTCCTTCAACTCGGTAAATACTGTGTGTAAGGCTTATGGGTTTTTTCCTTCCTCCTCCTCCTCTTGTCTTAATTCTCTACACACACTCTTAAATGCAACACTTCCACCCCACACAAAATATTAGCCCGGGAAGTGGGATGTGTGTGTCGTAGACTGCTGTTGTGGTGGATCTAACGAGGTATCATTGAGAGAGAGAGAGAGAGAGAGAGAGAGAGAGAGAGTTCTCATTAGTGCCCAGGTTGTGAGCGGCATTACCTGGCCTCACCGTCATGATCACGTCCTCACTGACTCGCTAAATGTCAGAGGTTGTTGTCGGTCACACCTGTTGAGGTCTCGTCTCAGGCAGGCGACGGAGCGAGAGGCGGGGGGGAGGGTGACCGTCTGGGTGTGGAGGGGTGCCTAATCTTCAGGTGGTTCGTAGGTTCTCCCATATTTAAGACACGACTAACTCCTAAGAAGACTTATATTTATAAAATCCTTCATACCGTTAGCCTTGTGATCCTCCTCCAGGCAATAGTTTGGTTGAATTGGGTTGTTTCATTTACGTGGATTTTATGACAACGATATTGAGTTGAGTTTGTCAGTTGTTAGTTAGTTATGTCAACAAACATAAGTGGATCAAGTGTGTAGAAATAACGCCATCTGTTGGGTGTAAATTGAAACTGGATGCGTCTGTTTGCAACCTCACTGTTAGTGCCACCAGTGACCTTTAGGGTTCTCCCGCCGTGTGTGGTTCAGGTGTGTTGGTCAGTGCCAGGTCAGGTCAGGTCAGGTCAGGTCACATAGCGCGGGGAGTCTACAAAGGAATTCTGTTCTGAACTTTTCGCTCCATTGACCGGATCTCTGGCAGACAGTTTTGTGAGCTGATTCTCGCCTGAATATTTCATGGTCTGTCGTTCACAGCGGATACAAAAGAATAATGCAAGTTTTTTAAGGCGCTGCAATTTATGATAACTTTCCCAAGGGTGTGTTAGCTGTTTTTAATATTTGTAGCCAACGTTAAGTATCGCGTGTGAGAGAGTAGTCTTCTTGAGTTGTGTTACTCGCAATTCATAGTTTGGCTCAGTTATTAAAGTTAACCATTTTGAATTATAGATCATTAAGGTTCATTTCGCCGTGTTTAATTCTGTTTTAAGTCCACCTCTGTCTTCCGTAGATGAGTGGACCCGCCGACATGTCCCCCAGCCAGGATATGTCGGGTAATGTCAGCCGCGCTCGGGTTTAGCTGCGTCAGGAGTTTTTCTGAGGCAGTGTTACGTTCTCATAATATTCAATTCATGAGAGTGGAACAGTTTTTTGTTTTGTTTTTTGTTTTTACAGAAGATCAAAACCTGTTGTAGCTTCCCCTTGTTTCTCAATTCCAAATAATGACTTGATATTATGTCGCCAGGACCACTATTATATCCACCTGCAGCGCGGGGTCAAAGGTCGCCAACAATTATTCAGATATTTGGGGGGGGGGGCGTCTTTAGTTATCTTTAATTCAACTCATACAGTGAATTTTGCTTTCGGTATAAAACACTAGAACATCATTATTAAAAACGTACGTGTGTGTGTGTGTGTGTGTGTGTGTGTGTGTGTGTGTGTGTGTGTGTGTGTGTGTGTGTGTGTGTGTGTGTGATGGAGAACTACACTGCAGTTAGTTGTGTATATATTGTGTTTGTTTGGTAGTGGCTACGTTGATTTAAAAAATGTTCATGAACACACACACACACACACACACACACGCACACACACACACACACGACACTCTTAATTGGCTTACAAAAAGTGTCCTCCTTTCTGTGCTGTTGTCTTTATAACGTAGATAAGCTATGGGTGTGAAGTGATAAGTTATGGGTGTGAAGTGACAGGTAAGTGTAGGGGTGGACAGGTGAGTGACAGGTAAGTGTAGGGGTATAAAGGAAGCCTCACCACTCCCATCCAGGTACTCCCGCTACTAATTAAGTCACCACAAGCCTCACCATATGATTATAGGCCTCACTAAGTACATAGTTAACGTCTACTGTGTGTGGTGATTGAGAGGCAGTTGGGTGGATGTTCAACTGCTCCGTTTCGTTTTATTTATATTCTCATTGAACAGAAAGTTGTTATTTATGTTTCCTTGTGATGTATTAGTATTTATTTTATTATTTATTGGACCATTTTCATCTTTTTCATGTATACATAATGCGTGTGTGGAGTATGGGAGACAGGGGGGTGTTGAATACGTCTTTGATAGCTTTTGTTATGTGAGAGGATCATCCTTGGTGGTGCCCCCCCCCACCTCCCTCACCCATCACCACCACTACCACCACCACTACCACTACTCCGCTGGTTTCATAGTACGATCGACTCTTGGGGACTTGAACCCACTAGGACCTGAGTTCCTGAGGGGGACGCCCCAGCAGAATGAGGAGGAGGTAATCACATGGGTCATGATCCTGAAGGTGCGGGAAGGACGGTAGTTT